AGACATGCTTAAAACATCATCCAATCAGCCACGTGAAAACACCAAGCTCCAATACCATCTTGAAACAATGAGGAAAGAATTTGATGATAACATCTTTGCTTCCACCAGACTGAAGCTCATGTGTTCTCATTCCCTTATAATTCAAACTCTCCAGTCATTCTAATTCCATTGCATGCTGACACTCATATTCCATTCTGCAGGTAGAGTGTCACAGAGGTGTGCAAAAAGCCTCCACAAAGAGGACGAGAGAGAAAAAAACTGGAGACAGAGAGAGGTAAGGAGAATATTTTGGGCTAGGAGGTTATCCAGCAGGAGCACAGAGGTGGCTGCTTTTTCCATCACGCTGTTGCTCATGCCAGCAGATCATAGCGCCCAGTTCTTACACATGAGACCTGGAATGTAAATATTTAAATGCGGCAAAAGTCAGATTCTCCTTAATTCTATCATTTAAATATGCATTATTTATCTGAGGTCCATCAGATGGTTACAGCATGGAGTGCTTAGTAAATATTTGTAGCTGAATACTGATGATGAACTGTTACAGATACAGTAACTGTGAACATAAGCCAGTTGAGACATTTGCCAAATGTATGATGGAAATTTTCCACACTTTTTCCATCATGGTATCATTCCTAATAACATTTCTAATTAAACAATAAGCATACAAGGAAAAGTAAATGGCTGTGATTCTGTCGTTTGCTTGTGATGTTCTGTAAGTTGCTACAGTAGTTTGAAAGAAGTATTTTATGCTATGCAAGGCTGTGGCATAAAATGCAGAAATATTATCACAACTTATAAGAACTGTTCTATTTTAATATAGGAATAAATGTAATTTATTCCTACGATGACAAAACTGAGTTTTCAGCATCATTTCTCCAGGCTTCAGTGCCACATGATTCTTCAGAAATCATTGTTATATTCTTATTTGGTTCTCAAGAAATATTTCTTATTATTTAAAAAATTAGCTGCTTTTATATTTTAATATTTTGGTTGAAACCGTGATAGATTTTTTTTTCCAGGATTTTATGAATGGACAGTTCAAAATAATTAATTTCTTTGAAATTAAAATCTTTTATAACATTGTAAATGTCTTCACTGTCACTTTTGATCAATTTAATATGTCCTTGCTTAGTAAAAGTATTATAAGAAATCTTACAGACATCAAACTTACGAACAAGAAGTTGTTAACAAATAATATAAAGTAACTGGCATTTCATTCACAATATGGCTGGGTTATACAGTATGGTTTATTTTCTCTCTGCCAACAAAAAGACTGTAGTTAATACAGTTTGAATTATCTGTAGCAAACACAGAGAAGCGGAGTGATACAAACAAATTAGTGGACTGGAACTAATTGCTGTATAACAATATGACGAAGAGCTCATGACAACTACACAGTGAGTGTACAAATATTTCTGCTGTATTTGACCTATATATTTCTGTTAATCCCATTTTAACAGACTCTATCCCTCTAAGGTCCATCAACACTTCAGCACTTCTTCACAGCTGAAAACAGATGTGGCTTCTGCTAAAGTGTGAGTTCCAGCAACTTTATTCCGTTAGTCTGAGTTTGAGTTTGCAGTGGGATTTTCACTCCTTACACAGAGCCTAAAATAGCCTTGTGACTTTTCTGCTTTGCTAGCCAGTATCACACAGAGACTATAGTATCCATGAGGTGGTCTAGGCCGCGACCTTTGACCTCAGCCCAGAGGAGGGTGGCGTATATATGCTCTTGTACATTTTTTGTCTCCTCCCCCAATGTTCAAATGCTAGTTACAGTGGGACCCCAAGATGAATAAATAAGCACATGCTTGCGTACCCTGCTTTAGCATAGGCATGAGGCATTCAGTTCACTGATGCATCATGGGAACTTTTCTCACAAAACCAGAGATAAACAACTTGCCCTTCATCCCTATAGACACCTGGTACTGCTATCGCTTGGTGCATTCTGCACGCTTTAAGCTTTAAGCAAGTGTGTGTTGCTTCCTATCATACCCAGCTGTCCATGTTCATCCACGTTTGCAGAGATGGAGATCAACCATGCGCTCCATGTGGCCTTTGAAACTCACCACTCCTGCTTCAAGGAGAAAGCCAAACCCTCCCCAATGCTCCTCAACTTCCCCCTGCACTCCATCCGAGAGCCAGACGTGGATCTGTGCCAGGCCAGGCAAACTGCTCTATCCTCCAGGCATCGCACCCCATTATCCTCAGAGGAACCACATCAGCATTGAGATGGGGACCTGTTTTTCTGTAGCACCTTTTGAGCTCAAAGCACTTCCTGAGCTCTTGGCGAACAGAGAGGAAGAGGTCAGGCTAACTGCTTTAACCCAAGGTGAAGGCCAGGGCGGCTGACACAAATCCTGGTGTGGAGATGCCAGCGACAACTGATGACTCACGCCACGAAAGCCCGAGAATGAGAGCGCTGCAAGTTTGAGGATATCGTAGGCAGTTACTTTTATTGGGAACGATTAATACGCCGGCTAGCGGCATTTGGAAGCGTTCCCAACTCTGATCTCCCACAATCCCGCGGCTCATGTTTCAGATTAAGCCTCGCAGCGACACCACAGCCTACACATCATCCAACCCCTTCCTTCTTGCCTCCACGCATGATCTTGCCGTCTGACCTCACTCCTGCTTGAGCGTTCCAGGAGAGCACAGCGCTTACATTATCCCTCAGATTCTAATACAGCATAATCATTTGCCTGTCATTTTAATTTCATGCTCTTTACTTCTTCTGGGACTATTTTTGGGCGGAAAGCTGTAGGAAATTCAGATGTTCAAAAGCTTGCTGATTAGCCCTGTGATTAAAATGGATCGCTGGCTGAGCCTTCGCCAGAATCTAAAGCAGAGACTTCTAGAATCATTAAGAGTACTTTGTAACAGTTCATATTGCAGTGCCTAACTCCATCTGTTCTGCCCATTCTGGTGACATTTAGCATATGAACGCAATGCAGAGAAAAATAAACTCATACTCAAAGAAATATTTGATGCAATAAATATCCAAACTGTAATTCTATCTAAAACCCATTCTGTCTGAAAGTATTATTTTGCTGCTACATTAAAAAAAGAGATATTTTGACTTTGTCAGCCTGGGAATGAGAGTGGTATTTTGACCTCTCCCAGATTAAAGATGAGAGAGCTGTCACCCTGCGCTGGGTCCACATTTCCCACGATTCCTTACAGGGGTGCGCTGGCTGGCAGGCCCTGCAGGCATGTTCTTTTTTGACAGCATAGTTAGGAGGTGCTGATGAAAGTGGAGAGGCTACGTTGCCCCTGTACCCTCTCAAATTAGCACAGGAGCCCTGTTGCCTGTCACACAGGGGCCCCGGCTCACAGATTCAGTTGCAGTGTGAGCATTCATGTCTGTGTTGCTGCCACCGATGCAGGTTTTGTGGTGGTAAGAAGTGTATTGTGGTTGTGTTGAGGCCTTATGAGACCGCAGTTAGCGCAAAACAATATTTTGGAATTTTTGAACAATATTTTTTAAATGTGTATTATATATATATGTGTGTGTGTGTGTGTGTATACTAATTATTTGATAAGACTGTCAAAAGTTGTGACATTTTTACAGAAAATAACCATTTTTATTTCCAAGATGATATTTTCTGAATTAAACATGCAGTATTCTGAGGTCATGTGATAAAAATGTAGCATACTACAGTTTGAAACACTTATAATGGAATGAAGCATGCTGTTTTGCTCACTAAACTATTTGAGTTTTAGATTCTGATTTAAATCAGAATAATGTTGATCTTTGACTTCAAACCTCACATTGTCTCTGCTTCCTTAATGCTTGTACATATATATTTTTTGTGTGTGTGTGTGTGTGTGTGTGTGTGTGTATATATATATATATATATATAGTTTTTATAGTTTAGACTTATTTAAAAAACTGATATATACTTTAAAATTACCTTTGTATTTATAATATAATTCTGATAATTATATCTAATTCATTTCATAGTGTGTGTGTGTGTGTGTGTATATATAAATAAAATGTAATAGAATTTAATCATTTAACCTACTGATGACTACAAAAACTAAATTATATAATTTAACATTTTAAAAACCATATAAAATAAGGTTTACATATTTTTTTAAATCACACACACACACACACACACACACACACGTGTGTAATAAATTTCATATATAGTTTTTGAAATGTATTACTTCATATATATATATATATATATAAAGTTATTCATTTTTAAAACATATATATGAAAT